GGATAAATTAACAACATCAGCAACCATGAGTACATGTTTCCCTGATGTTAGCTTGTAGCTACATGTAGCAGTGTAGGCTAGGTAATGTACTTGCAGCAGCGTGCCTAGAGCAGATGAACATATGAAGAAATAGACTATTCAGTGCGGTCTGAAGCCTGAGGTCTTTGCTCACAGAGATTACTTTTACATACGGTTAACTCATTCTTTGAAACTTTGGCCATGTTTAATATGAACATTCGACACTGTACCATTGTATATATGACAGAAATGATGAAAAGCATAATGCATCTCCTGTAATGACATCTCTGTTTTTCCCTCATCACATTTTCTGTCCTGTCTGTGTCTATACTGTCAGTTATTCAATAAATAAAGAGGCCAGCTGCCAAAAAGTATTCAAAGGTTTGCCAAATATAGGTTCTTTAAGAAAAGATTCACACACAGCTGGTTGCGTTTAGAAAACATTCAACATTTAAGACATTATGTTTCTTTTATTAAATGAAAAAAGGCTTTTGTAGAAAAACATTATGTATCTAAGGAAACTCAGGCATCATATTGACACTAAATTCTCTTAAATATAGACTCTGACTAGTCCAACTGCACCAAAGCTAGAGAGATTATTCACTGGTGAAAAGCTCAGATGGGACAGGTCAAACAATTTTTTGTTTGATTAATGTGAGAAACCCAAAATGCTGTTATCTTAAAAAGGAATAAAACAACAGCAGAGTGAACTCCGCTCAGCTCAGCAGTAATGACCCTTCAGTTTCGGAGTCCTCAAGTTCATTTTCTCTGCTTTGTGTTCTTGCGCCAAAACAACATCTGCTGGAGACGAGGACGAGCCCTGAAATCAATACCTCTTGGAAACAAATTCACCGCTGACACCCTCATCTGCCAGCTAACACACACCCACCCATTTTCACGTCCCCATATGATTAAAAACACGCACATCATTTAGAGTGCTGGGACCCTTCGCTTTTAATTAAAGCAAGCCAGCTAATGCAAAGTGAACTGAAGCTTTAGAGCCTGCATTAACAGTCTTTGTAATGGGCCCCCGGCTCATAAATAATGGCTGTGCTGTCATGAGGAACCTGGGAAAGCCATTAAGAGATAGTGAGAGAGGTATCCGCATGTGTGGCAGCAGGCAGGCAGGCAGACAGACAGAAGGGACGAGGCGGGGAGCCGCGGGGGTCTCAGGTCTGCCAGGAGTAACCTTGGCAAAGCCGAGTCTCACACAAATCATCCTGCTGGCCTCCCCACACTCCTCCTTTCTCCCCATTCACCTCCTCTCCTTCACAACTGAGGGATTCCCGCTGACCTTTGGCCTCTCCTGAGGTCATTCCTGGCCACCGTCCTTTCACTCTCAGCAACAGTATTGACAGCAGGAACAGGATTTCCTATTGATCACTTTGTTCTTCATTCTGAATATGGTGGAGCACTGTGTTGGAGGTTTTGCTCTATTTTAGTCGCCCTACCATCTATTATTGATGAAGCTTGTTGCCAGGAAAGGTTACAAATATAACTGCTGTAACAAGAATTACAGTCAGAAAGGGAAGTCACGTTGTTGCTGCTGTAGACACTAATAATTTTTAATAATATAGCTTGGAAAAAACACCTGAATAAGAAAAGTAGGCGGACAAATCCCCTCCACTATTGAAATATGCTTAAAATGTCCTCCAATATAGTGATAAAAATATAAAGAAAAAAGATTTCAAATTATACGACATGCAACCACACACTGCTGTCTGAAATAATATTAAGCCAACGTAATTATAATCAATCATAAATTCAATAAACAAATTGGCATTATTAGCATTACTACTGGTTCTAATATAGTACTGCAGTTCTGTGTGTAGTCTGTCAAAGTGGCGTTGCTGTACCCCAGCAGAAAACCTTGCTACACTACTGTGGGTACAATTAATGTCATCCCTGTCTCAATTTCATTACTTTCAAATATGCTAGGATTAGGAAAACTAGAATTTGACATGACTGTTACATCGACTGTATCACTGTCAATTGTTCATTTTTGTAAAGTGCATGTCTGTCATAAATAATGTTAAAAAAAAAGTCATAGCGTGTGCATGTTTCCTCTTTCCTCTGTGGCCCTCAATCAAATGCTGTCTCCCAAAACTGGCGCTCAGTCATCAAAACTATAAGAACGCCTGATCTAAGATGTTTCTTTCCACATGCTGTAAAATGGTAAGTTCAGCTGTTTGGTTTCTAAAAATTTCTCCTGGCGAGGGGGAAATCCGCACAGACTGAGCCCCGTCCTTCAGGGTTGGGTCACAGAAGCATGGATCGATTACTGAACGGGCCTACTGGGCACAGGTCCAGGGCCCACAGTGTCAGGGGTCCCCGTCCTTCACCTTCAGAGTGCCACCAGAAGAGACACGTACCAACCTGGGAGACACTCCCAAGCGTAACAGCTGCAAAGAGACACAAAAGCTGCTTTTACACTGCCTGTTCAAGGCGGGAATATTGTGCTGTTATGCCACCTGGCTGTTCTGTATTCAAGGTATGAAAGGGGGGATAGAGTGATCTCGCCTCTGAGCCGGGGACAGAGGTAGTAGCAGCTCCGAAACGATGTCCAAAACAGTAAGCCAGAGAGACCTGGGTGGGTGGAATGGGTGTGACGTTTTGATTACATATTATATTGGCGACCCGTCGCAGGAGATTTAAATAGCAGCTGCTAGCAGTTAGTGGCTAACTCAAAGAAGAACAGCGACTGTAAATGTTCGCAAATTGGTAAAACATTGAGATCTGGGAGCTTCTTACCCTCTGAACAGAGGACGAGATCAGACAACATATAACAGAGAAGGTAAATGATTGTGAATGACATGTTAATGCCATTGCTGTTGTTAAGAAAGCACTGCCGACGCATATGTTGTATGTCACGCTAGAGGCTAGATGTTAGAGGTTACATGTGACACCTGTCGCACCTCTGCTGCAATGCAATAATCACATACACTGGAGTGGAATGATGCTGCTGTTGTTTGGCTCTGTGTAAAAATACAAAGGAGTTGTAAAGAAAGGACTTTGTAGTGGCCTTAGAGTGTGATCTCTGTGTAAAAAGGGCTAAAGAAACTCACGTAGACCACGAAAAGAGGAAAAAAAACACAAAGAGACACAAAATTACTACAAAGAAATGGATGGATTTTGATGGATTCATGTCTTCACCTCACTGAGTAACATAAGTCAACATTTCACCTTAAAAGTCGCCGGCAGTCGGCCCAGTGAATAATTTTTGTCAGACTCCAGCTGCTGCAAGAGGCAGCAAAACATGCATTCATTTTAAATAGTTACAGTTTACTAATAAAACTCTTCACAGTGTGAACAGTGGTTACATGAGCCTCAAAACAAGCCACAACTCAGCCCTGAGCAGAGTGACCGTCCTCTATTGACCAATCAACAGACTGCAGTGTTCACAGCTCCACATTTAGTACCAGATCTGTGTGCTAGGTACCCCAACAGAGGGGGGACCAAAAATGGGGAAGGTATGGAACGGTTCCATTGGTACCATCCACAACTTTTCACAGTGGAATCGGGGAAAAAAGCGTTCTGAACTGAACTGTAGCGTGGAAATGGGGCTAAAGAGACACAAAATGGCTACAAAAAGGCTCAAATTGACCACCGAGTGACACAAAACCACATCCAAAAAGAGGCTTACCAACTTTAAAGTTTGTGTTTCTTGCTTTTGTGTAGGAGAGATGATAGGATCTTCTGCATGTCTGTGCCCAGGGGCCCATTGTCTCATAATCCACCCATGAGAGGGTGTAAATTGAAAATGGTCCCCCCCCCCAGTGTTAAATCTGTGTTTACGGCCCCACCTCAAACATGCATTGTTTGTGGGACCAAGCTATTGAATGAACTTGCTGAAAGATTTTCCACAACAACTACAGTCTGTCACAGTAATCCATCAGTCACTGCACTCTGTCTGTTCTTATGTTCAGCCTCATAACAGATCAATCTTGCTCAATATGTTTGAACCCACATGTGGCATTGCAGTCTGAAGACATGTATCCACCTGACCAACAGTGCTGCTGAACAATGCTGGAGATGTGTACCCCTTTAAATTGCCCACACTGCAGATAAGGTAAGGAGTGGTAGGCTTCAGTGCGGATGGAGAGCGCGTTTTTCTCGCCCTTGCCTTCTCCATCACCAGCGCGTCTCTTGGTATGCACAGCAACACCCGAATGCAGCTTTGACTGAGCTTTATCCACCAGCGGCCACTGCTGACTCAAGAAATATTTCACCCAGAAATCTTTCACCTGAAAAATCCCCTCTCACCTCCTGCTGGGCTGAGACCATGCAGCAGCCATAAAGGCCGCCTTACATTCATGTGTGTGTGTCTGTGCGTGTGTGCGCGTGCGGCTGTGGCTCGGTGTAATTGCATAATCTTGTAGCCCACTACGAAGGGCGATTCTTTCATGCATGTCGTTTCAAGTCAGTGTCTTCAGACGCTGCTGTGCTCACCATGTAGGCTATTAGGAGCCTCACAGAGCTGTGTCTGTGCACTAAACGTGGGGACGCCTCTGCGTGGATCTGCAGCTCAGCCGCTGGATCCTCGTCGAGATGTTGCTTCATGTGGCGAGAAATGAGAAATAAACACGTCCACCGGCTGAGTGACGGCAGATTTATGCGCCCACAGAAATGAATAGAGGATTCATTATGGATGCATGTGTCCCAGAACTAATTATTAAATCTTGGTAATAAGATTATATATTTTTAAGCCCTCTCCCTCCTCCTCGACTCGCGTGTTTTTTTTTTCTTTCCCTCCTCTCCCTCCCTCCTGCAGATGTTGCCTCTCTGAGCACCTTATCAGGACCATTTACCTTTGCGGCTGTCTGCAGCCACAGCTCGTCACACAGTCACGCTGGCGTGGAGGGGGAACAGCGGAGGCAGATCATTCTGCTGATCCCAGCACCTTTGGTTATTAAGGGAAGCACCAGCACCTCCTTGATCGCTTCCCTCCTCCTTTTTTTTTTGCCAATCGCCATCCCACGACAGCCTACCCGGAGGAAAGGAGTCGGGGAGGGGAAAGCGAGGACACACCCGCACATACTGTACCGGGTGTACACGGCGAGGATGCTGCAGACAACATGAGGTGAATATCATCGACTGCCCCACATTGGAATTTTTTTTTTGTTTTTAAGGAAGACACAAGAGCTGATTGTCGCAGCTGGTTATTCACCTCTGTGGTACCAGTGTCCAGCAGGAGCATCACATCAGATATGAAAAAGATGTCTGCAGGTATGTATGAAGATCCAGATAAAAGCAGCTCACCTATCAGCTCAGATTTGTAAAGTCTTGGCATGTTGCAGCAAATGATCTGCACCTCACTGGTGGTAATAGGCGATAAGCCTGCAGTTATGGATTTGTTGTGTAAGGATTTTATTCAGTAAAACTGTGCTCCCACTCTGAGTGTGCTGGAGATGATGCAGACAAGAGATACAGTTTTTCTCTTGGAACCTATTTCCTTCTGTGGATCAATTATTTATAGATGTTTTTGAATATTTCAGAGACGGGCACCATTTCAAGACTAAAATGCTCCAACAAAACTAAACTGAAGTCAGTTAATATGAAGCGTGTGTATGTGTGTGTTTGTTTGGCACGGCAGTAAAATCTTAAAAAGCGTCTCGTACATTTGTGTTTAGACTGCAGTGGTTTCCTATGATATTCTAGACAGGATGCTGTCTCTATGAATTTGGTGCCTGCTGCATTGCCATATTCATGCATGGCTTCACTGCAAAAAGGTAGTCCCATTCATTTCAGTGGATTCTGTCCATTGCACCAGATCAGTGTCCTAATTTATGAGCGTCTGTATGTTTTATATGCCAGTTCGCCCTCTGAGCATACCTGCATTAAGCAATTTATATGCAAGGCGGATGGCTTATTTGCATATTAATTTGCCCGAGTCAGGAGCAGGAGTGTCAGCCTCAAGTTTCCACGGGCTGATTCATTATTGCATCGATTGCCTTCTCATGACAGCATAACTTTACATAACTGGTATGAAATGTGTCGTTTCAGAGGGTGGCTTCTTTTTCATCTATTTATAGTCGTTTAAAGCAAATTCCTGTCGTCTCTGGACTGAGTGGCTGAAGTATTGAGTGCTGAATCATGTCTCCGGTTTACCTGACCTTGTTGTCTGTCTTTGCTTTATCTGTCCTGCATGCAGTCCGATCCTAGGTGACATCCTGTGGCCGTCAGGTCTTTACGGTGTTGAGCCCCCTCCCTCTCCTGGCCCCTGCCTGCAGTTCTCCAGGCTGCAGGACCCAGACTCACTGAAAAGTGCAGGACTCCTCCCCCTGCAGAATGACTGTTGCCACAGGCGACCCCTCTGACGAGGCGGCTGCGCACCCGGGGCACCCGCAGGACTACGACCCGGAGGCCGACCATGAGTGTTGCGAGAGGGTGGTCATCAACATCTCAGGGCTGCGCTTTGAAACTCAACTCAAAACCCTCTCCCAGTTCCCGGAGACTCTGCTGGGGGACCCCAAAAAGAGGATGCGCTACTTTGACCCGCTGAGGAATGAGTACTTTTTTGACAGGAACAGACCCAGCTTTGACGCCATATTGTATTATTACCAATCAGGGGGTCGGCTAAGAAGGCCGGTCAACGTCACCCTTGATATTTTCTCAGAGGAGATCCGCTTCTACGAGCTGGGCGACGAGGCCATCGAGATATTCAGAGAAGACGAGGGTTTCATCAAGGAGGAGGAGCGGCCTCTACCTGACAATGAGTTTCAGAGACAGGTGTGGCTGCTGTTCGAGTACCCCGAGAGCTCAGGTCCTGCTAGGATTATCGCCATAATCTCTGTCATGGTCATTCTGATATCTATTGTCAGTTTCTGCTTGGAGACCCTCCCCATTTTCCGCAATGACGAAGATGATATGCACAAGTCTCACTCGAAAGTCTATTCACCTGAGACCAACACCACAATCATCAGCTATACATCCACCTACTTCACCGACCCCTTCTTTATCCTGGAGACTCTCTGCATTATATGGTTCTCCTTTGAATTTCTAGTGCGCTTCTTCGCCTGCCCCAGCAAAGCAGGCTTTTTTGGTAATATAATGAACATTATTGATATTGTTGCTATCATCCCTTACTTCATCACGCTCGGCACAGAGCTCGCAGACAGGCCAGAGGATGGTCAAGCGGGTCAGCAAGCCATGTCCTTAGCCATTCTCAGGGTCATCCGCTTAGTACGAGTCTTCAGAATTTTCAAGCTCTCACGTCACTCCAAGGGGCTTCAGATTTTGGGTCAAACCCTGAAAGCCAGTATGAGAGAGCTCGGCCTGCTCATTTTCTTCCTCTTCATAGGAGTCATCCTCTTCTCAAGCGCCGTCTACTTTGCCGAAGCAGACGAGCCCGAGTCGCAGTTTGAAAGCATCCCAGATGCATTTTGGTGGGCGGTGGTGTCCATGACGACAGTCGGCTATGGTGATATGGTCCCAACTACGATTGGTGGCAAGATTGTGGGTTCCCTCTGTGCCATCGCAGGTGTGCTGACCATCGCCCTGCCCGTGCCTGTCATTGTGTCCAACTTCAACTACTTCTACCACCGTGAGACTGAAGGGGAGGAGCAGGCGCAGTACCTGCAGGTCAACGTGCCCAAAGCTGATTCAGCCGAGGAGCTGAAGAAGAGCCGGAGCGGCTCCACCATCAGTAAATCGGACTATATGGAGATCCAGGAGGCTGTGAACAACAGCAACGAGGACTTTCAGGAGGAGAACCTTAAGACGGCCAACTGCACGCTGGCCAACACAAACTATGTAAACATCACCAAAATGCTCACAGACGTGTAGTCGTCTGCTGCTTTCCTCCCTGTCACAGCGGGAAATGTGGAGCCGAGCAACCGGATGGGACAGGTGTACAGCCTCCCACCTCACGTGTGCTGGAAAAATCAAGGCAATAGAATTCAGGATGTTGATGATGATAGACAGTGAACAAGAAAAAAAAAAAATTACAAAGACCATCCGCTCACTCCTCGCTCATCCTGTCTTCACCCCTCACAACTTGCCCTTAAAACTCCTGAAAAACTGTCAGAGTGGAATTTAAAATTTTGCATTTCTGCATGGAGTTGGCTTTTATGTGTGTGTGTGGCTGTTTCAAAAAAAAAAAAAAATTAATGATTAATGATGCCTAAAAAATTTCCCGCTCACAACAGTAGCCAACAGTAGTGCACAAAAAGAAAAAGGGAGAAACACAGCAAGAAAAAAAAACAAAGTATTGCTTTCGAAAAGAAAAAAAAAAAAAAGCAACACAACACAATCCCTGCTTTAGTCCCCCCGTCCCCTCATTTCCCAAGGCACACTGCTCTGCCATGCGCTTTCTGAAGAGCCCTACTCGCGCGCTACATATGCTGCTTCCTGGAGCCAATGAAACAAAACTGTCTTACGCTACACCATTTAGAAATAAGAGGATGTGTGAGCATAAAGCGAGCCCACTCCAGCGCTGATGTGGCCCGTGGGTGACTTGTGACGAGGTTGGTGGTTAAGTACACCACGTTATTTCAAGGGATGAATGACAGCCATCGGCGCTTAGCTTATGGTTCGACACCTTTTTTTCCCAGCAGACATCAGTATCTGATGAATGACTGAGAATGGCCTTGACTTTTCACTGCTTTGGTCTTACATGTACTGTATGTATTGCAATGCAAGCTTTCCCCCGTCCATTCACCCAAAACTGGTCTTACTGCAGAGCTTTGAGGACAACTTGAATGTTTCTTCTTGTTTTGTTTGTTTTTCACAGTTTCACACACAAACACGGTACTTATTCAAATAGATAGGTAGGTTAACTGTGATTTTACTGATAGCCTGTAGGTAGGTAGGTGCTGTTAGTAGTAAACATAGTAGATAAATTGCATGACATTTTTATCTGAATGAGAATTTCCACTTGTTTCTCGACTGCCACTTGCTTCATCACACCACTGTATATTTGTCTGTACACTGCCTTCTATACAAATCCACACTTTTAAAAAGGATGCCTGCAGGTAGCTGTTACAAGAACCTAAAGCTGTATGTTAGGGGATTTCTTAAGGAAAAACTATAAGGCCAAATCCTACACTTAAACAGGATGCGGTGTCCTCGTCGATATTAACATTCCATGTAGAAGTCATTGCGATAAAACTTTTGCCAGGTCGCTGTAAACAGCTGAGCTGTGATTTCAGGCGCACTCTACTTTTGGACATTAATCCCAGTTGCAGATGTGATACACTTGCAGCGCTGTCTTTTTCACGGGTTGTCACATGATTACGCCTTCATGATCAAAATAGCAACTTAAGGATTCATGTATAGAATAACGCTTCCCCCTCGAACTGCCTTTTTATCTGGGTTTACGCTAATCTCCTAGTGTTGCATGACCTCAAAAACATTCCTAGAAGCATGCATTTAAGATAAAAGAAGAAGCCAGACAAAAAGAATTATTACAATAGATATACTTATTTCTTATATATAAATATATATATAAATATATGTATACAGACAGGACACATATACAGTACACATATACTTTTATCAGAGAATTAAAGAACTTAAAATAGCGATGTTTAAGAGAAAGCGAGAGCCTTTCCACAATGCGCAGATCATTGCCATGTTTTTATTTTTAATGGTAATTGCTGTAAGCACAGTTTCTATGTTCTCCTGTTTCAGAGCCTGCTGAGAGTGCCAAAGACACACTCTTACTAGCCACCTAAAAAGCATTTTATTTACTAGTGAGTTTCCCAGCAAACCTGACACACGTTTAGATCCAAAAAGTTTGCTTCACTCAGTATAAAGATGCCTTCTGTGAACGATAGTTTGAAAGGCAGGGGCGTTGTTTCGAAACTGTGTCATCCCCAACCAGAGTCTCTTATCAGACAGATTTTTATTGGCGTTGAATTGGTCAGAATTTAAATGGAGTCTGGCCATCCTCTGAGAAGTCTTTGATGCCAGAAACTCAATCTGTCTTTTAAAAGTTGGCATCAAATGTGAATTAGGTTCTGATTCTAGGATTGTGTCCAGCTGAGATTTATCCACCGTCCGCTCAACACTGCCAAGGTAACAGTCAAAGGCAGTAACGTCAATATGGGAAGTGATAATTAGCAGCAGTGTAGCAGATACTGGCTAACCTAGGGGTCCTCTGACTTCTCTCCTGAGGCTCTTACCTTTCTTTGTCTCTTCACGGATGTCTTAGGTAATTAGAGAGGTGATGGATTAGGAGAAGGTCCGTAGCAAGAAACTGTCGAAATGAATTCTGTCATGCCAGGATGTACATCTTTATTCTTAGGGTTTCATTCTGCTCACTACAGTCTTTAACCTGCAGTAGCACGATATTTTTACACCATCGCTGCCAACGTGTGCTCAGGATGCCTTGTCCAACTGCCTGACATGAGGCTTCTGAAGTCTTCTCTCTGTCCAGACCTGTGTATGCTTTCACGTACCCTGAAAGGGTTTTTAGAGAATTTTAGTAAATTAACAGGAGCAGTGTATATGCGTTGCTTTCCCAGGAGTAGCATGAAGGTGGATCTAGATGTTAAAATGGTCTGTAACTGGAGGTAGGACCTGATTAAATAGTTGTTTAGCAATATTACCATAATTCTTTGGAGGAGGGGTCGTCTGTGTGTGGAGGGCATAGATGTTTTATTTTTTTTTTAAAGAAAGAATGAACCATAAGACCTCCACAGTCCAACCAAGATCTTATTGATCATCAGTTGAGTATTGTTGTGGGTGTGTTGATGCACAGCTATGTAGGAGTTGTCTGTGCGTGTGTGTGTGTGTGTGTGTGAGAGAGAGAGAGAGAGAGAGAGAGAGAGAGAGAGAGAGAGAGAGAGTGTGTGTGAGAGAGAGAGAGAGAGAGAGAACCACTGATTGTCAGTGTCTTAGCCTGGTTGTACAGCTGCATTTATGCAACAGCCATTTGCATATATCTGTATATGTGAAAAGAGAAACACTCACAGTCTGACCAAAAATATTTGTCTATGCATGCAGATGCATTGTATCCTATTGTCTTCATTGCATTTTTTGGCCATATATTTATGATAAATGTTGCAGATACATTCAACATTTATCTGTTGTGTTGGAAATTGGGCACGTCACTGTACCTCAGCCAAATTCACTGTAGCAACTCATACACTGGAGTTCAATGCAAGATGCAGCCCAATCGCCAGAATCAGTCGGAATTGTATGTTTCTGCGGATCACAGATACGCAACATTTGTACATTATGATGTAGTGGATATGATAAGAGTTAAGGGGTTTTTTATGTGTCAACAGCACTGTGGTTAACATGTGGTTATGTTTAGACAGAAAAAACGCTTGGTGATGGTTAGGTAAAGATCATGCATGGCTTAAAACACCCAGTTATAGTGGCACAATTGCAGCTTGAAATGCGCCAAAAACACCAGTTTTTTTTGGCCCAGTTGATGCTAAAAATGCAGCATGTCTTACCAAAACATGCCTGGTTTTGGTGGCACACTAGTGGCTGAAAATGTGCCAATGTCTCCCCAAATAACACTTGGTTTGGGTGGCACAGTTGCAGGTAGAAATGCCATCAATGTCTCAGTAAAAAATACATGATTTTGATGACACCATTGTGGCTGAAAATGCCCAAATGTCTTGCTGAAAAACACCCTGGTTTTGTTGTTTGTTGGTCTTGAACAGTGGTCTGCAGAGGTCTGCAGATTGGCAGCTGTCTCGCTTATATTGTACATTTCTGCAGACCACATATATGTAACATTTATTCATTATGATGTAGTGGATAAACCAAAAGTTAAGGGTTTTAAATGAGTGGTTATGTTTAGGCACAAAACCCATTTGGTGATGGTTAGGAAAAGATCATGTTTGGCTTTAAAACACCCCGTTTTGGTGGCACAATCACGGCTGGAAATGGTGCTGATGTCTCACTAAAAAGCACCCAGTTTTGGCGGTGCTATTGTGGCTGAAAATGCGCTAATGTCTTGCCCCATAACACCCAGTTTTGGTGGCACAACCATGGTTGGAAATGCTGCTGATGTCTCACTAAAAAACACTAGACTTTGGTTGCCCAATCGTGGCTGAATATGTGCCATGTCTCACTAAAAAAACACCTGGTTTTGTTTCTTGTTGGTCTTGATCAGTTGTCTGCAGTGGTCTTCAGCTTGGCAGCTTTTCCACCAAAAACACCTGGTTTTGGTGTCACTAAATTTGGCAAATGTGTCACTAAAAATCCCCGGTTTTGATTGTTGATCTGGAACAGTGGTCTGCAGCAGTCTGCAGCTTGACAGCTGTCTTGCGTATATTTTACGCCCTCCACCATCCCCTCCACCTCCTGATGATAAAGTCAACTCCTATACTATGTCACTTTAGAAACACTGATATGAAACAGACAAATGTAACATATTTGTGGTTTGCAGAAACGCACAATGCCATCATTTCCTTCTGGCGACTGGGCTGCTAGGTGTCGGAATATCAACAGTTATTTCAGCTTAAAGCACAAAGACGAGAAGAATCATCCTCATGTGTAAACCTGCAGATTTAATCTGTAAAATGTTTTTATTCAGTGGAAACAAAGTCAATGAAAATAATGTATTGCTTTATAGGGTGCACCACAGCCTCTAAAAAACTTTAAAAAGAAAAAAAAAAGTCATCTCTCACCCGCTGAGGGACCCACCAGCAAATCCACTCCATGAGAAGGGTGCCCAACAGTGACTACACTGAGAAATCTATGCAGAGAATGGTTATTAGCTGGTAGTTGAGAAGGTTTAAGTACAGATATTATTTTTTATTTTTTATCCGGCACCAATCGCACGTCGATCCTGAGAGCTGACAGCTCATCTGAAACGAACCTATCAGGCAGAAGAGAAACACTTTGCAATATTCTGCTGCTGTACGTCAAACACTCACACGTTGGCTGAATGTGAATATGATCTTTCTGAACTTTTGTTTGTTTGAGCTGCGACGTCAGCTCTTTGAGAGACAAGGCTCCGACACAACAAAAACAAGCAGCTCATACATATGGGAAACAAGATGATCAATATGCAATCCGTATGCATGTGTGTGTTTGAGGACGGACGTTTTTTTCTTTTTTGGTTTGAGCCCCAGAGCCTGATAGTGTGGCATCCACTGAAACAATATGTACAGTTGTTCACCCCCCCCTCCCTCCCTCCCTACCACCCCCCATCCTCCCTCATATCATAGAGGCCTGAAAACATCCATCAACATTGGTACAGTGGATAATGGATTTTCTTTCTATGAAATGAAATGTGAGAGAATAATGTAAATAATAACCAATGGATGATGGAGCAAAAACCATGTACTATAATACTGTATGTGAAGTCTGGATTTAAAATTGTAGTATTATCTGCACTTTACAAGACAAAAAGGACAATCAAAACAAGAATGGACAAGAAAAACATGTGAAATTAAAAATGCATATAATCCTTCCAAATGCTCATAACCCTGACAAAGTAATATCAATAATGAAGCCAATAATAATTCAACTGAACATTGTGGTCAGTGTGTTTCTTCTGTGTCGCCTCTTTGCTTAAAAATAATGTGATTTTCGCTGCTGCTGCAAATATGTGAGAGGTGTTTTTTTGCCAATGTTTCTCCAGCCTTCTTCCCTCACATCACATTGTACACGAGGTATTTAGTCAGCAAATGATTTGAGGAGCTAATTTTAGCCCGTGAGCGTCTGCGCTGATGCAAAATGCCATGAATCGATCAGAGGCCTCTTTGTTGTTATTCTTAGGACATCCAGCGTCTTTGTAGCCCGCGGGCAGCGCGGAGGACATTTTCAAACGCCTCCCGGTATCTTCAGCTTCTTCCTCCCTTTAAGTGCACGGTATATGCTCCCTGCAGTTAAAAGAGAGAGCAGGGTGTTGCTATTAATAGCCGTTTTGTTGGAGAAAGAGATAGGAGCAGGAGGAGGATGAGCATGAACGTGAGCAGAGGAGGAGACAGAGAGAGAAGGGTGGAAAGGAGATGGCAGAGGAGGAGAAATTCTTAAAGAAATCCATCATGGTGAACTTTTGGCGATGGCGTAGTCCTGACATCCATGTGTAACAAGACACAACAGCAGAAAATGACATGTAGTCAGTGTTTTTTTTTTGTCTTATAGGTGTGTGGTGTCTTTAAGATCTGTATGTTCAGCCTCTGCAATTTAAGGTGACACAAGCAGACAAGGGCGGAGGTTTAGTTTCAACGTTGGGGGGATGCATATGAGACACTGGGGAGTTCTTCAGGAAATTTTGAGTGTCAAATGCTTTATTTCCTGCGTTCTGGGGAATATTCAAGGTGTAGATGTCTTTTATTTCACCAAAATAAAAGACATCTGCTGCTTTTCATGATTTTATTGGGGGGTACAAATGCACGTCTCCTGCATCCCTCCCTTAAATCTCCCCCTGCCTTTGCAAGCAGATGTAACACACGCTGATATATGTTCTTGCTTCTCTGTCACATCTACACCTGCACAGTTTTTCCCAGCTAGCTGCCGTCACGTCTCGTGCTACCTGCTATCTTTAGTCCAGCGTGTGGTTTAACTACAGCTCTGCATTGCGAGCGGCGAACACTTGGGGCCTCGGTGCTGTAGCTACATCTCTGCTGTAGTCATTAGTCTTGCTTTGATCCAGCGATGCAGTGCAGCACTCTGCAGCTCGCTCTGCTGAAACCAGGGCAAACAGGGAGAGGGAGGCAGGCGGGATGGAGCAGCCCAGCCAAGGACACAGGCGGCGGGAACATGGGCCTGCTGCAGGTGGCCGTTGCTGCCTGTTGTTGTTGTTAGGGAAGGAGTGTGTGTGTGTGTGTGTGTGTGTGTGTTGTTTGTCAGAGATGGTAGCATGCCCACAGGAGCACGGTTGAGCAGTCATACAGGCTTGCTCTGTGCTTACCAGCTTGTAATTAGGAGCCAAGCGCTGTGGGACCTGCTGCTAATCCAACAGGGCTGCCCTGGCACCGGACCACACCCCGTTATTAGGAGCTGTTCATCTTTTCACACTCATTAACTCACCGCCCTGATATCAGTCATCAGCCCTGCAGCCAGTCTGCTGAGTTTAATGGCTGCTGGTTTAGCATACTGTAGCAGTCGCTGGTTTGTAGTTGTTTGGCTTGAAGTGAAGATTAAAATAATGGAGATGGATGCTCAGTTTTACTTGGCACCTTGTTTGTGCAGTGATGAGGAAAAATGAAGAAAGCATCACTGCCCTCTAGGGGTGTTGCTGCAGTAATGACACATCAGTTTCTCAGAGCAGAGTTAGACTAAAGAAAGCTTATTGTGGGGGGAAAAGTATTCAGAGTCTTTAAAGGTATACTATGCAGGGTTTTCTGTATAGACTCTCACAGAAGTAATCCCTTTTAATCATCACTTATGTCCCACTGGAGGTGTGAGGTGGTGTATTTTCCTGCCCTCTGCCTGGATTTTCTTGTTTTCTTCTTATTTTCTGTGTTCAAGATTTTTATGATCGTGTATAGCCACAGTGCTCGGGTGAGACGAGGACTTTATAAAAAGGTAGTGACCAGGTGCCAGATCATAGGCAGCAGGCATCAAAGAGAGAGGTGCCAATATGCCAAAAGCAAATATGGTGAGGCAAAATGCCAAATGACAGTGACTCTTACAAACAGTTACCAACGATCATGCATAGTATACCTTTAATAGGTGAAAGTACCAATACATTCATATAAAAATACTCAATTATAAGTAAAAGTTCTGCATTCAAAATCTTACTAAAGTAAAGTATTATCGAGAAAATCTAAGGTACTCCAATTAACAAAAGCTCTCATTATGCAGAATAATGACCCCTGTGAGTAATACATTATTATTAGATTGTTCACACTGATGTATCAGTGTGTAAGTGGCATTTTACTGCTATAGGTGGTGGAGGTAGTTTAAGTACTTCATATATAATTCAGTAGTTTTGTCCAGTGGTCTCCAACCGAGGGGTCAACCCCTCTCTAAAGGGTCAGATTATAAATCTGACCATTGTGTGATGATCATTGGGAAAGGAAAGACGTTCTGTGACACTAATCTGTATTAATTTTTTTCACTTTTCTCAAATCGTTGCTTCTTTTGTGAACTATCGGACAGTTTTATACTCATAGATTAATGAAATGTGTCAAGGGGCTCCAACTAGGCACTGCTGTTTTTGAAAGGGGCCACAAGATAGGTTGGGAATTACTGGTTTAATCCTTAAAGGTGTACCATGCAGGAACTGTTGGTTACTGTGTGTAAACAGTATCACCAGTGAAAGTGAAAACCAACCCCAGATTCATTTTGGAACAAGCTTTTTCTTTGTTTTCACCTTTCAACACATTCTCACTCCCAACTCATCAAATACTGATGCTTGGTCAGAGGCTCTACACATCAAAGTATGACACACTAGGTACCTCACCAGAGTCAATTTTTGATGCTCAGGGCTGGTATGTCGATTTATGCTTGTTACGTGCATCATGTCTTTTCAAAGTAAGCTTCCATTTTCACTGGAAATGTAGAGTTACACATGTATGTAAAAAACTATTGGAGTTAGGTTTCATTCCTCAGGTTTAGGCAACAAAAGCAAGTGGTCAGGTTAAAAAACTCCCATCATGGTTCGGCTTAAACCAACAAGTCTATTTGTTACTAACATATTGTGATGTCATGTGACATATGTCCCTAGTGCAGCATGCTACATATACTAGCACATTTTGTTATTTAAGTAACTTGTTTGACTTTGGGTTTCACACAGGACACAAACAACAAGCTCACGGGTGAAAATCCAGAGTTTGTTTGACTCATCCACCCCAGACTGTCTTGCTCTTTATGCTACTGCAGTGGCTTGGAGTGTCAAAGCATGCCGCCACCTAGTGCACCTCATACCGTTGCTAAAGGGTGCCTCAGTGCGTCAGTATCTGACGCCGAGGGCCACTGACCAAGCGTCTGCATTTGACAAGTTAGAAGTGAGACCAGGTTGGTTTTTCAGCACTGTGTCCGCAGTCTTTGTACCTTCTGTTTTGATGGTTGCTGCTCACGGTCTGGCACTCAGTCACTACCTTTAATAAAGTCCCAACTTCATCTGCAAGCTGTGTCCAGAAATGTCCTGAACACAGAAAATAAGATAATACAGGCTGAGGGCAGAGACTCTGCAGATAAATACAACACCACACACTTCTAGTGGGTTATAAGTGATGATTGAAGGGGATTACTTTGGTGTGAGCCTATTTGCTGGTTTTTGTTTGTTTCTTTCTTTTTTTAAGGAAAATCCTGCATAGTATACATTTAACAATGTGAAGCTTAGTCTTTTTTTTTACGCAAGATTTTGAATTCTTTTTTAAAACTGAGAATAAGGTATAGGAAAGATGATAGAAATTATTTACACCTAAGATCTTAAATTGAAAAGTAACTATTAGCT